GCGAGCCAGCGGAGCGAAGCATGGCAAAGAACGTCGACGCAGCATAGCCCATGCAACGCCATCGAACATCTTGGACGGTTCGAGCGCAAGCAACAAGCTACAGTAGCTGCACGTGAAAGCCGGCACCTTGTGGATGTATATCAGGCTGCGCACAGCACCCAGAGCTCGTGTAGCGTAGATAACAACAAGAGGTCATAGCATCTCATCTCGTGCGAAACGAGCCATCCCTCCAATAGGCTATGAACCCAACTCCGAGTTTGATTTAAACACTCAAGAAACTTGTCGTAAGGACCAAGTTGTTAGCAAATGCGACCTTGACGGGGGTCACGCTCAGCATCGAGAAGCTGCATGGCGGCAACAATGAGGCGTGGGCTGTCAAAGCCTGGATGCTGGTGATTAAGGTCAACCTATAGGTTACATCACTGGCGCGGTCAGTAAGTCCTTGCATGACGATGGCACCATCGCTGACTATGCCCAAACAGGTGAAGGCCTCGGTGATGCTGACACTTGGCGTTGTCGGTCAGGTCACTAGCTCAATCCATAGGATGAAGACAGCTAAAGATCTGGGGAACACGTTGGAAGTCCAGTGCCAGCCGAAGGGAGCTATCCATCCTCAGAGACTTTTGCACTCGCAAGGAGGGGCTCTAAGGAGAGCAGACAGGAGTACTTCGATCGCGTCGCAACGACGTATGGCAAGATCAAAGCACAACGAGTCAAAATGTTGGAGACCAAGTACTGTTTCTCCAGCCATGGCCAAATCGATTCACGCTAAACAACACTGTCCAGATTCTCAGGCAGCTTGGCAATCAGCTGACAAGGGGACACAACGGTTCAACACTACTTCAGGAGGAGCTTCGCCAACATCGTAAGAATACCAGCGAGAGGATTGGAACAGTTATGTTCAGCAAATATTACACGCACTGTGGTAAGGGAAAGTCGACTTGCTGCAATTGCGACAAGCAAAGCCACCGGCAAAAGAATGTCTATCGAAATGACGTGCTCAGAGTCACTTCTCGGCTGAGAAACTGCCTGCCGCTTCCACAGTTACCATGTCTGCCCTCATCCTATGCAGCGTTGCCCTGCAGCGCACGAGTTTCAACAACATCATCATCCTCGACATTGGATCTTCGCAACACCTTATCACTCAAGGCACAGCTCTCACAAACAAGGTCAAGGATTCTGCCGCCGTCAAGCTCTCCAATTGCTGCACAATGAGGGAAATGGCCAAGGGTTATTATGTGCCCATCCATGTCGACACCGATAAAGGCAACGTCGTCAACATCTATCTCTAGAATGCACTTGAGTTCCAGGGCATGCAGCGGGACCTCATCATTGTCAGCGGAGTCAAACTCACGGAGGCCAGCGGCGGCATCACGCTCAAGAAGGATGGGGCGACGGCTACCTTGGGCACATAGCCTATTGGAGGGATGGCTCGTTTCGCACGAGATGAGATGCTATGACCTCTTGTTGTTATCTACGCTACACGAGCTCTGGGTGCTGTGCGCAGCCTGATATACATCCACAAGGTGCCGGCTTTCACGTGCAGCTACTGTAGCTTGTTGCTTGCGCTCGAACCGTCCAAGATGTTCGATGGCGTTGCATGGGCTATGCTGCGTCGACGTTCTTTGCCATGCTTCGCTCCGCTGGCTCGC